GATTTGTGGGTGTGGGGACAAGATCATGAACTTTTAACTGGGTGGGATTCTGATGTAATTTCCAGAATTGGGGTTTACACAGATGTGCCAACATGCCTGATTTATTAAATTGGAACTTTAAGGATCGTTTTGCCTTGGATTCTGATTTAATTCTACATGATACTTGGAACGGTGACACACATCTAACCTACCTGTTGAGGAGTCAAAGGTCTGCGAGGCGGAGCTGGGGCCTCCTCCTCACTCTCCTCTTCCTGTTCGCTGCTGGACGAGTCGGGGCCACCCATCAGGTACCTAGGAAAGGGAACCTGCCAGTTATAGTCTGAAATGAAGACAGAGTAAAAAAAACCCACCAAGCTCCTGTTCCTCTTGACAGCTCACCTTTTGCAGGGCAAGCGCCGACGTGTCCGGTGACAGTCCAGGATCCATTCTTTCCGTACAATGGTGCCCCCGAGCCCTTTCACCTGGCTGTATTTGGGGGTGTTGGCAAAGGCACAGCTGGAAGGAAAAACAGAGTCACTCAGCACTGAGGGATCCATTGCAATCTATCATGCACCAGTAGGAAACCAGCCAGCTTGGTCTAGCGGTGAAGGCACCAGGGAGGAAACCAGGAGACTGGGATTTCTAGTCCTACTTTAGGCATGAAAGCACGCTGGTGAATTTGGGCCAATCCCAATATATTCAAATTTCATTTTGACTCTTCTTTGTCAGTATTTTAAAAATCTTTTTTTTAAAATTATTCTATTCCACTATTTCTTCGATATTAATGTAACTTGATATTACAGTTGGCCATGGCGAGTTGTTATAGATCCTAGCAAAATTATGGGTCTCTTTGAGTTCTTGTTTTGCCAGAAAGAAAGGTGAGGTCTTGGGCTCCCTAAGTAGAGCTGTTATGGCCCACCAGGGGCCAGTGGAGCTGGTGGTAGACCCAGACAGTGAGGAGGTTGGGGAGGAACAAGGGCCAGTCCTGGAGTCTGGGGAAGGCTCTGATGAGGGCTCTGTGTCGGAGGCAGAGAGGGGGCCAGGGCCATTTGCCAGTTATCAGCTGCCTTCAGACTCAGACATCGGTGGGGCAGAAGAACAACTGGAGCCTGTTCCATGTGCGCATGCACAGAGTTGCCAGACGAAGGGAACAGCTAAAGAACNAGATAGATGGATGATAGATAGATAGATAGATAGATAGATAGATAGATAGATAGATAGATAGATAGATAGATAGATAGATAGATAGATAGATACTGTATTGCAACACAAATGTAACAAGGCAACATAAAAAATAGCTTTCTGCCTGGATGGCTCCCAGAGTGAGCTGATAGACAGAAAAGGGAAGCAGCATGCTCCCTCCCATATTTGGGCATACCAGTTATAATTATATACAGTTCTACAGTTATAATTCAGCATCATGTATATATAATGTTTGACATGTATATACACACACATATACATACATACACACACACACACAAACACATGCGACCTTCTACAGTTATAATGCAGCATCATATTTAAACCCTGGGAGAGCTCTACAGTAATATTCTCTTAAAACCTCACCCGTTAAAAGCTATGATGTAGCGATTCAAGAGGCGTCGTTCCTGAGAAGGGAATTCACCATAAAGGAAGAAGCATTTGCCCACAAACAGATCTGCAAAGGAAAAGCAAAGATCCTGGAGAAGTGGAATGAAGAATGGGACAACCCCAATGTACCCATTCATTCTCTAATCATTCAGCCAGTTTCATCTAGTGGTTTAAGGCAGCAGGCTAGAGACCAGGAAGCAGTGAGTTCTAGTCCTGCGTCAGCCACGAAAGCCAACTGGGTGGCTTTGGGCCAGTCACTCTCTCTCAGCCCACCTCACTTAAAAATTGCACCCCTTAGCAATGGAAGTTACAGCCGCAACTGTGGTCGTAAGTCGAGGGTGCCCTGTATTAGATACTGATTATTTAGCTAAAGAATAATGGACTAAAGGGATGTGGTGGCTCAGTGGCTAAGACTCTGAGCTTGTCGATCAGAAAGGTTGGCAGCTCAGCAGTTCGAATCTCTAGCGCTGCGTAACAGAGTGAGCTCCCGTTACTTGTCCCAGCTTCTGCCAACCTAGCAGTTCGAAAGCATGTAAAAATGCAAGTAGCAAAATAGGAACCACCTTTGGTGGGAAGTTAACAGTGTTCCATGCGACTTCGGCATTTAGTCATGCCGGCCACATGACCACGGAGACATCTCCGGACAGCCGCTGGCTCTTTAGCTTTGAAACGGAGATGAGCACCGCCCCCTAGAGTCAGGAACGACTAGCACGTATGTGCGAGGGGAACCGTTACCTTTAATGGACTAATGATCCTACAGATTGAAACTTCAATTAAGAAAAAAACAAAGCAAAAGAAATACCAAACTTGAGATCGGTTTGAACAAACCTGGAAGTTCTGGGATAGGCTGATCTGGCTTCACTTGTTCCTCAACATCTGTGTTCTCATCAGTGGAACCAGCATAGGGATCGTTGTCTGGTTCTGGAACTATCCTCCGTCCGCCTTGCTGCTTTTTGCGGTGTTCCTCTTCGACTCTAAGCCAGAGGAGACACGGAATCAGCTTTGGGAAAGGATCCACCACAAACCACCAAAGGCCTCCAGGCTTCAAACCCATAGAATCTAAACGGCAAGCTCCGGTTCAGTTATTAAGTGATGCAGTCCACACAGGATGGGTCAATACGACAGGTATCAGTTGGACCAACCTCCTTAACTCGTCGTCAGTGTCACCTGACCCTTCGTCTCCGTTGTCTTGAAGACCTAAGAGGCGGCAGGAAGGCAGAAAGGAAGCATCAGCCATTTCTTTTAGATTCCCACTGTCAAACTGCCGGGTAAACTGTTCTGATCACTGGTGGACAGAGGATGGCTGATTAGCTGTCCCAGAGAGGCAAGAATCCTTCATTAACTCCTTCCACAATCATTGACACTTAAAGCTTGAAAATTAATGTAGAATGTGTAACTCCTTAGTATCAGAGCGTGTTAATATAAGGCAACTGGCAGTTGGAACAGAGTTCTTTTCAGGTGGGGAGAGGGAGTAGAATGTCTAAACTCCCAGCCCGCAGGCTGGACGAGTCATGCGCTGGCCACGCCCATATAAGGCAACTGGCAGTTGGAACAGAGTTCCTTTCAGGTGGGGACGGGGAGTAGAACATCTAACTCCTTAGCATCGACACACCTTACAATTCTGGGGATTTCATGAGTGAGTGGTATTTGGCTTTTATTTACACACACACACACACACACACACACACACACACACACACA